AAAAGTATATAAGTAGAGTTATCCTTTTATAAACTCCATGGAAAACACCCCCGGCCCCACCCCACTCCAGCTACCCTAGACTAGCTGACCTTTTCTCTACTTTCAATATAACTTGCTAACTTCACTCAGCAGTCAGCACTCACTTTTCCATTTCCCGACCTTATTTGACCCTGAATCATAACACTGACACTCTTCTTTCTCTTGCTCTTTCCGGCGACGCACCCCGATCTCATTTTTCTTGAACTCCCATTAAGGAGTTCTCCACTCTGTCCGTCAAAATATATTCATAATTATACAGTTTCAGATCCTGTTTTCTTCATCCACTGTCACTGTTGTTTCAAGATTATATTTTCATGCTGTAATGTTCTGAGGAGCTACCTTTTTACACTTTCTTTTGTTTTTCTTTTCGGGAAATGGCGGAAACAACTGAAGGTAAAGGAATGCCAGATGCAGATAAGAAGAAAGAACAGAGTCTACCATTTTATCAGCTTTTTTCATTTGCTGATAAATATGATATTCTTCTCATGATATGTGGAACCCTCGGGGCCATCATTCATGGATCCTCCATGCCCGTTTTCTTCCTTCTGTTCGGTGAAATGGTTAACGGCTTTGGTAAAAACCAAATGGATTTGCGCACTATGACACATGAAGTATCCAAGGTTTCAACTTTTCCGGTTCCATGCATTCAATTTTTATTAATATTTCCCATTATCTGTGAACACCATATAACCAGATCTAATTCTTGATTTACACATGGAATGCAGTATGCGCTGTATTTTGTGTATCTTGGATTGGTAGTGTGTTTTTCATCCTATGCAGGTGAGATTTGTGATCTGCATATTAGCATTTTTGTTTTATAATTTCGAGATTTTTTATGTTCAAACATGGTTTCGGATCAGTCGCACGTGGTCCGTGGTCCGTCTCTCTGTCTTTTTCCCCTCTCCCGTCAATTTCCAACATATTTGTCTATTTTATATTATTCCACCACACATCTCAATCACTACCACTGCAATAAAATTATTCTTTATTTTCTCCTTTATAATTTCAAATAAAACCACTTTTTTTCTGTAAAAAAAATTCCTTATCCGTTATTTTGAATCTTTGGGTTAATTTTGGAGTAAAACAGAGATTGCATGCTGGATGTACACTGGGGAAAGGCAAGTAAGTGCACTGAGGAAGAAGTATCTGGAGGCAGTGTTGAAACAGGATGTTGGGTTCTTTGATACTGATGCAAGAACTGGGGATATTGTTTTTAGCGTCTCGACGGACACTCTTCTTGTCCAAGATGCCATCAGTGAGAAGGTTCTCTCTCTCTCTCTCTCTCTCTCTCTCTTTCATACCTGTATATGTACATGTATTTATATCCGGTGGTCTGCAAACACAGTTTCACATTTAAATGTGTTTTTTGAATGGCAATGGTATAATATTGTAATGAGACAGTTGGGAATAAAGAAGGGAAAAATGGATCATTTGGGGAAGTGGGTAGCCATTATTGCGGGACCCACATACTATAATTTAAGCCAATTTGGTGGCGCACGTTAACTTCCCTTTGTTAACCTTCGCCCTTTGTCTTTTGTTTGTTCATGATTTGGTTCACTTTCCTGGTGGAGTAGATACTGTTTAGGAGTAGAGTAGTAATGGTGTTTTAAATGAGTGATGCTGGAATTGTGATTGGTTTATAATTTGTTTTTTATGTGTGTGGATATTTAGGTTGGGAATTTCATTCACTATCTTTCGACATTTTTGGCGGGATTGGTGGTTGGTTTTGTGTCAGCATGGAGGCTGGCTCTCCTCAGTGTGGCCGTGATTCCAGGAATTGCATTTGCCGGGGGCTTGTACGCGTATACGCTCACAGGTCTCACGTCCAAGAGTCGAGAATCGTATGCCAATGCTGGTATAATCGCCGAGCAGGTAAGCTCAGTGCTGTTCTAAGATGCGGATAAATAACGAAGTCCCTTCAAAATAGCATATTTGGTAGGGAGTATTGGATGACATGACATGACAATATATACTAAGAAAGAAAAGGTGTTAAGAACTTCCAAATATAGTTGTGTCCTATCCAATATTGCGAATTAAACGCACTTTTTGAGTATATGAACCTTCTAGTTTTTAGTTTGTTTTCAATAACTGTAATGACAAGTAGAAGGTTGAATGAAGTGTCTTAGAGTACAAACTTGTGTTGCATTTGGAAACCTATTTATGCCTAAAACACTTGCTTTCAATGCAGGCCATTGCTCAAGTTAGGACAGTTTACTCTTATGTTGGTGAGAACAAGGCCCTCAGTGCATATTCTGATGCCATACAAAACACATTGAAGCTAGGTTACAAGGCTGGAATGGCAAAAGGTCTGGGATTGGGATGTACTTATGGAATAGCATGCATGTCCTGGGCTCTTGTTTTCTGGTATGCCGGTGTTTTTATCAGAAATGGACAGACAGACGGTGGCAAAGCGTTCACTGCCATTTTCTCTGCCATTGTTGGTGGCATGTAAGATCTGGTGTTAAAATCTCATTTCTATATTTTCAAGCCAATTGATGAGGCATAAACATAAACTTGTATTAATGGTTTCATTATTGCAGGAGTTTGGGCCAGTCGTTTTCTAATCTCGGGGCGTTCAGCAAAGGTAAAGCTGCTGGATACAAGTTAATGGAGATAATAAAGCAAAAGCCTACCATTGTTCAAGATTCGTCAGATGGAACATACCTGTCTGAAGTCAGTGGAAACATCGAGTTTAAAAATGTTTCTTTCAGCTATCCTTCTAGACCTGACGTTATTATATTTAGGGATTTCTCGATCTTCTTTCCAGCAGGAAAGACAGTTGCAGTAGTAGGTGGTAGTGGATCAGGAAAAAGCACTGTTGTCTCTTTGATAGAAAGGTTTTATGATCCAAATCAGGGTAATTTTTTCATTTTTCCTTCCTTAGATGCTGAATATCTCTATATTACTCGGGTGATGCTACATGTACACTTTTGGTGTGTGTGGGCCCCCCTCCATGTGAGAGGGGTGTAACCCATTATATACAACAAAAGTGTACAAGTAGACCAATCCATATCATTACTAGTTGTTATACTTATTAATCTTGCAATCGAATGTACAGGACAAATTTTGCTGGACAATGTGAACATTAAGACATTGGAGTTGAGATGGTTGCGCAATCAAATCGGTCTCGTGAACCAAGAGCCTGCACTATTTGCCACCACGATTCTTGAGAACATACTCTATGGAAAGCCAGAAGCAACCATGGTCGAAGTGGAGGCTGCTGCTTCTGCTGCAAATGCTCATAGCTTTATTACCTTGCTTCCTAACAGATACAACACTCAGGTTCGAACTATTTCCCTATCGAAGGATTCTAATATTCTTTCTAAGTTAAGGATAGAGAATATTTACCAAGGTTAAAAAGGTTCACTTACAAGTAAATAAGATTTATAATCGGTAATTTCTTTATTTGTCAAAGTTGGAAATAAGTTGGTTATTAATTTTGACAAAAAGGTAAGGTCTTTTTATTTATTTTTTATAGCAAGAAAAGAATAATTTGTTCAAACATGTTTGGAAACAAATGTTACTAACGTTAAATCCAGGTTGGAGAGCGCGGCGTCCAACTTTCTGGAGGTCAAAAACAGAGAATAGCAATAGCAAGAGCTATGTTGAGGAACCCGAAAATACTTCTGCTTGATGAAGCAACTAGTGCCCTTGACACAGGTTCAGAAAGCATTGTTCAGGAGGCACTAGATCGTCTGATGGTCGGGAGGACAACAGTGGTTGTCGCTCATCGTCTTTCAACCATAAGAAATGTGGACTCTATTGCAGTTATACAGCAAGGGCAAGTTGTGGAAACTGGAAGCCATGAAGAACTGATTGCCAAAGCTGGGGCCTATGCATCCTTAATTAGATTCCAGGAAATGGTAGGAAACAGAGATTTTTCGAATCCTTCAACTCGCCGTACACGTTCATCACGGCTAAGTCATTCACTGTCGACAAAATCTCTTAGCCTTCGTTCTGGAAGTTTAAGAAACTTGAGTTATTCTTATAGCACGGGTGCTGATGGCCATATAGAGATGGTATCAAATGCCGAGACTGATAGGAAAAATCCTGCCCCTGCTGGGTACTTTTGCCGGCTTCTTAAACTGAATGCGCCCGAGTGGCCTTACTCGATCATGGGTGCGATAGGATCAGTTCTTTCTGGATTCATCGGTCCAACTTTCGCAATTGTGATGAGCAATATGATTGAGGTTTTCTACTATAGAAATCCGGCTAGCATGGAAAGGAAGACAAAGGAATATGTTTTTATTTACATCGGAGCTGGTCTTTATGCTGTCATGGCATATTTGATACAACACTATTTCTTTAGTATTATGGGAGAGAACCTCACTACACGAGTCAGGAGGATGATGCTTGCAGGTATAAACCATTTCGTGCAGTGTTTTTCCATTATAGCATGTTTTGTACATAGTAATGGACATGTCCGCACGATATTAAATGACAAATTTTAAAATCTTTTTGTTTCTATGTAATATGTTGTACTTTCCATCACAAGCTCATAACACAGCATCTGAAGGCAATACAAGACTCCTATACTTTCCTAGGCATGGAGTTTGCTCACATCTTTTTGGACAATATTCTTGGGAGAACATAATTTAAACACTGTCAAAAATAGACTTGCACTACTTGAATTATGCTTGTCATACTAAGTAATTTTTCATTTCTATTTTCTCAGCAATTTTGAGGAATGAAGTTGGATGGTTCGATGAGGAGGAGAACAATTCAAGTCTCCTTGCAGCCCGCCTAGCAACTGATGCTGCAGATGTCAAATCTGCTATTGCGGAGCGAATTTC